GACCGAAAAAAAATTTAAAAATTTCTAAATTAGTATAGAAGCCACCTAGACAACTGAAGATTTGCTTCCTTATCAGGTAGAGTGATGTGTTCTCACCTACAAAAAATCGGAACAAAAGCTTGAGTTTTGAGGGAGTTACGTTTAAAAAAGTGAAAACGAATACTTCACTGCACGGTACTGTATATCCCGCACTGAGCTTCCGTTCCCGTACCTGGCATTCCTGTCTGAAGTTGTCGTCAATGTCAACCACATCCTTGTTTACTCTGGCCTTTTTGCATTTACCAAGAATCACCTCGGGAGCGCCCTTCATCATGACGACATAACGAGCCTCATTCTAAATAAATCTTGGTCATCTTCAATAGCAAGAGCAAGACAATTCAAGTATGCTCATAATATTTCCACCTGAGCTGGTTCAGGAAGATTCTCGACTGGTTGAACATCAGCCAAACATCGACTGACAATCAGCTGCCATCGACGGATCGAATTGAACGGAATCTCATGCACTGACTGAATTATGTGTCATGAAGAAATGTCAAAATAGTAGAGGAGGAAGGAAAGAAGAAAAGAAGTAGGGGTGCAAACTGAAAGTGAAGCTAACGCCGTCCCGATGTACGATAGCACGGGACCCTAGAAGGTCCAAATGCTAACCCCCATCCCAAACTCACATGGTATCGTTGACGAATCGCTTCAACGCTTGCGTTCAACTCCACGTACTTAACCAAAGCCACATCGCTCGGAATCCCGAAGATGTCGTTCTTGCGGCTCTTGGTCCTGCCGGTAGTCGGATCTGAAATGGCTGCTAGTAAGGTTGGTTCCAATGGGATATCTTATAATAGTTACTCACGAGTAGAAACAGGCACTGGTTCCTCGGAGCGTACACCGTTTTCAAGAGCCGGTAGACCATCGGCGTCCGGAACTGTCGGACGTCGGTGTTCTGACACTTGGCCAGTGCGGGTGTCGCTAAAACCCGCTACCATTATTATATATTAATTTGCACAAGTCATTATTGAATTGGTGTTGGCGATCAGAGCTGATAGTAAGACTTACACAATCGTGAACTTCTTTTTCACGGGTCCGCTGAGCATCGCTTCAGATGCCGACTTCTGTAGCGCTCGCATCGTCGACACACGCCGCATCGAGCGACGAACATGTTCGAATTGGGCTCGGTTGCAGACCGACATTACTGAAACCGTGAATGATAACACAATTGTTCTTTTCGGAGGATGCGGACTATCCGAACAGCAATAAAGACCTACAGAACCCACGCAAAAAATGAAACTTCAGGCAGCGCTACCGCTAGATACGGGCCATTGTGGTAGCAGTACACCTCGTAAAACACCTCTTTCTGGCCGAGCAGGACTCAGCCCAGAGCGGGAGAGGAGATATTCTAGGGTGCGTCGACAAGTTTCACTTCCCCAAATTTCCCCTCCTGGGCTTAACCCTGGAGGATGCCTCCGTATCTTGCGACAGCGTCCTTCAGGCTATTAACTTGTCAAGTGAATCGCACCGCTATGCCCATAATTTACAGGTAAGTGGCCACCGTAGCTTCATAACGGTAACATCTGTTCATCAAAACTATGGAATATGACTCTTCGAATAATCTAACCGAATTACCGGTAAGAATTTCGGGAAGCGGTTCCTCGAGACGATCACTGGACCTGACAGTGGAACGCATGGCTCGTATATGCGGATGTTTCAAATCAACGCCGGCACCTGAGACAAAGAAAATATTCAGAAAAAATGTAATCAGTAGCGATCAGTTTATTACTTCCATTTCATAATGGTATTGTACGTATAATCAATCTACAAAAGCCATAGCAAATGTCTGAATTGCATTGGTCGCTTAGCAAAAGTGTAGCTCTATTTAGTATTGAGTAACTGAAAACAATCGGATAACGACTAATAAAAAATCATGGGAAATTACTGAAAAATTATCTAAATTAATGTCATTCTTGCAAAATCAGTGGGTTGAACTAACCAGTAACCATTCGCCGATTGAACCACAGGTCAGTGACAACCATTTGATTCATAGTTAACGTGCCCGACTTGTCTGCACAGATCACCGTCGCCGCTCCGAGCTCATCTGAAACAAATTTGATGGTCGTCTTTTTGATAAAAATTGAAATATTTAAAGTTATATCCAAATAAATATATAAAGATTGAAAATAAAAATTAAATTAAAATCAAAGATACAATGAAGATGGGAGATAATGCGAGTTGCGAAGAGAAGTCCACGTCTCAGGAAGTCCTAGTAGGAGCATAGCAGATTGCAATATTGCGACGGAGGTGAGATGTCGAACGGTGAGCGAATCCTGATATTTCTGATGGGATTTCATCGAAGACCCTAACGCCTAGCGCCGTAGTGGCACCTTTCGATTTGTAAAGGTGGTGCGACCTTCTGCCCACAGGAATCGAGTAATTCAGTGAGGCTAAGCCCAGACCTTGCCTTTAAGCAACAGTTTTCAATGTGGGGGAAGTAAAACTCAAATTATTAGGTGAGCAATAATCATTTCGCTTTTTTGGGCTCATGATTCCTTGATTTTTTGCTGATTCTTTTTAAAGGTTTATGTAATCCATAAGCGCTCAATCTCTTGTACAATTTGATGTACAACACTTGTGCATTTACTTCACTATGGTACATAGCGTTTATCCACTAGCAAAAAGATTGGCCCTGAACATGAGCGCAAGTTGAGCTCGAAACCGAATGCTTCTGCATCTGCTCGTAGATCAATGAAGCCTGGGATGAAAGGCACGCTTGCAGAGAGGACCGTTAGAGAACGCTGTTGATTACGCATTCATTGTTTTTATTGATTTTGTTACTAAGCTTATGAGCGGAATGAAAATGGGGGATAACTATTGCTCAACCGAATATAAAAGTACAATCGGCAACCAACTGGAGACGGTGCATTCGTTGTTAACACTAACCTTATTATGAAGCTGATCGCCCACTGAAACACGTCGATCTGCCTACCCTTGCAAGATCTGTGTGTTTGAGATTATCGCTTTAAGGACTGATTACTACCCTAAAATCCCATAGATAAGAGCGGTCCATAGATATTTTTTCAAAAATAAAATAAAAATAAAAATATTTTTTCAAAATCATTTTTTACCGGTAAATTAAACCGCTCTTATCTATGGAATTTTACTGATCGAATGGGCTCTTCAAGTTCTATCCAGAGATCAAATTCCGGCATTTCTAGAGAGATTCCGGCAGAAATTCCGTTAAAATCGCTATTTTTCTATATGAATTGTTTATTAAGTGGGCGGGGTTTTAGAGTTGAGGGACGGAGCTTCTTCTAAACTTCTTCTCCGATTTTTATTTATCCATCCATCAAGTTAGAGGGGTGACTGCATTCAATTTCAATTTCATTCCAATTCATTTTTCACCGGTAAATTAAACCGCTCTTATCTATGGGATTTTAGGGTAAATATCTAGACATCATCGTTTTGCTAGTCAAAAGCGGAGCAATCAAGAATGGCGCTACTACAAAACGCTTCTTCTAGGTTAGCCTTCTAGCCCCCCAGGGTCACTAAACCCTTAGACTGGTCCAGGAAGATAAAAATATAGCGTTTCATAAACTGGGATAATTGCAACTTATTGTAACGCGCACAAATCGCATTCGAACGTTATTACTACTGGAAATGAAATTGGAATGGGTGACGTGGCCAAGTAAGGATTTAAGGCAAAAGTCGGGCTCAATAAGGGGGTATTATGGCGATTGAAACTGAGTATAGAGATGCGAAGTGGAACGACAGTGGAGAAAAAACGAAAGAAAAACCGTCGACAAGGCCGAAAACGAAACCCCGCTCCCACTAGCAGTGAAGGAGGCTTGCTTGGGAGAGAGCCACGTCCAAACGAGTTTTCCGGATATGCCAGCCGTTCCATCGGTTGATACGGCAATCAACCTAGCTGATCTCACACGTTACGCCAGCCACGCACCACGTCCGGAGGCTATATCAGTAGTGGAAAGGCCTCCTATGACCGCCTAATCCTGGGTCGTGGCTTTTTTGATGTTTTTTTTTTAATTTTTTTCACGCTCCCATTATATGACAACTGCTATAGTGATGACGATGCTATAAAGTTGGTGAAACAATTTCTTTATAGGAAAAAAAACAAAAATAATGATGGGAAGAGTGACTATTATGGAATGTTTATAATCCGAATGACTGCGTAGAATAGTTTGCAAATAAAGCGCTCGACCATAACCCTGAAGAGACATATCGAAACGGCGCAACCAACCAATGAGATCAAGTTTCTTGATGTAAATGTTCTTTTGTGCCATTCGCCGTGCAATTATTCGCAATTGTGACATCACAGTAGCTGGAAGACCTTGTGGAATGTTGGCCACAATGACTACCAGAAAGCCCATAACGAAATGATCCAGAACATTTTCGAACCTGAAAAAGCAGAGTTTAGCATTTTTCACATAGAACCATTTTTCAACCATATGGTAACCAAAGTTTTTATGGCTCACAAAGCAGGCATAAATTTGAAAAGAATGACTAGACCAACGCGATTCGCTTACTTGGCAACGATGCATCCGATGAGAAACATGGCTACAGCCATACAAATGGCAAGCACTGAGATGAACTGCGCAAAGGTGCGCAACTCCGCCTGCAGCTTGCTCTTAGTAGGCGGGATTTGCGTGTGAAGATTCGCGATTCCACCTAGCACCTAAAAAGTAGGCACATTGAAACCAATAATTACTTCATCAGTAAATACTATTTTCCACATTCAGTTATTCGGCCATAGCGGTAGGCAAAAGGATTTGGTGCTGATGTTGTTGGAGTACTGTCTTACCCAAAATAAATAAAAAATGTTGTAGTAACCAGAATCCAAGCGCAAAGTTGACTAATTTTTTTGTTGGAAATTTGCTAGCATTTTTTCTCCCGTGTATTCCCTTTCTATTACAAGCCCTAACGCCATCACGAATCAAGGTGATTCTGTGTCAGAGAGACGTGAGTTGGAAAGGATAGTAAGCTTTCAGCGATAAATAATCACTTTCTGGATGTGCAATGCGTTCTGCTTCCATTATGAATCCTAATAGATTTTGAGAACAATATGGTCCACACAATGACTTATTCGAGCCAGCGATGTTCCACTCACTGTAGCATCCTCCCACACGAATCTGACATCAAATGGCCCACCTAGGACCGTATGCTGAATGTTGGGTAGGGGACGGGGATGGGTGAATGTTGGGGAGGTTCGTCGCAGGACCCACTGGGCAACGGTCGCACCTTTGATTTTGCAGCTTTGTTTCCATCCTTTTACTGTTTCTGATTGTATATTCGCACGTAAATACCTTTCTTTACACCAAAAGCAGCGATGAAAGAATGGAAACAAAGCTGCAAAATCAAAGGTGCGGCCGTTGCCCAGTGGGTCCTGCGACGAACCTCCCCAACATTTACCCATCCCCGTCCCCTACCCAACATTCAGCATACGGCCTGAAGGCTTGCCATATTTGACCCCGAGCAAAAGACGACAAAAGGCGCTGTGCTAGTTGGTGTTCCATCACTACCGTCCACGAGAAACCCCACCAAACATTAACAACTGCTTCTAACGATAAGCATTAGCGTAGTCTGCTTAATTAGCCCTCAAGGGTTATTGTGAACCTTACAATATACCTTCAAACCATTGTGAATGTGTGAATGGGGGAGCATTACTCATCCACAGCCGACTGACGAAAGTAAAAAAAAGATGTGACCTAGCCTATCCTATAGCCTGTCACCTTGCCGCTGACCGCCTTTGGTACTGACAGATCGGATTTCAACCTGGTCCAGTTCCTTACGATAGAAATTAAAGGCACTGGTCGCGATCGAGTTGGGAATTTATGTGTTGAAAGTGAGTGTAGAGATGCAAAATGGAATGACAGCAAAGAAGAAATGGAAAGAAATCGTCTACAAGGCTGAGATAAACCTCCTCTAGAAGAAGGAGGCCGGGAGGAAGGGGTGCCTGAATGTATTCCGCACATGTCACAAGCCAAGCAAGGCTCTCGCGTGGGGGGGGGGGTGCAGCCGTAGCCCAAAATGCTAGGCCGGGGACTACTACCGAGCGGTTCCAAATCACGAGCGTGGCACCACCACTTTCGTTGCAGACCCAGCCATAGCATTAATAGATGAAATTATTTGACTGCCTAATCTCAACAAGTGCGTTTAAACCATTGATGAATTGGAAGTGTCCGAATGGCGCGGAAGGTTAAGGTTTACCCAGCCTATCTTCGGGAGATTCAGTGCCACAGATTAAGGATAACGATGTGTTTAGCTCAAACATCGTTGTGCATTCAAAAGAAGCAACTCACTGTGAACTTCCCGGTTCGGATGACAATGCCGAGTCCATCACCCTCCGTGCAGTACGATCCTTTGAAGGCGACATTCCGCGAGTCGAACACGGACACATACGAAGCGGCCGCTTCTGCTGTGCACTCGACAGGAGTTTTCCTACCTTAGTTCAAGAGTTTGATATAAAGCACATAGCTTTTAATTCATAATACTAAGCGCCTAACCGGTCACTTCCGACACCTCGATCGTCAGGCAGTTTGTCTGAAGAATTCGGATATCGGCCGGTATTCGAGAGCCCGATCTGAAAATATATAGTTCAAGTTCTTCAAGAGAAGCAGTCAATAGCTCATCCAGAGTGCAACATATAAACAACAAACGATAGAATTGAAATAAAGGTAGGAAGTGTAAAGAAAATGTGCAAAAAAATTATAGGCGCTAACTCGGTTGGGGAGAGCTAGTAGGGTCGACCGTCCGTTAGACAAAGTCTAACTAACGAGGGGGTCGTATTTGGCCGACCAGAAAAAGAAAGGGGGGGGGGGGTCGTATTCGCAAAGACCAACGTCGCGATACGTAGGTGAAAAGGCATAACTTTTTGAGTGCTGTCTCCAACTATTACTCAAGTAAAACGAAGCATTGCGCACCTCAAGCAGCTAGAATCTACAGCAAGGAAGTGGTCCATTATTTGACTGCTTACTCACACATATTGCTGCTAAACAGGAGAACTCAATTGTCCTTCAAAAGTGGAGAATAATCAAGCCAAAAAGTGACATTGAGTAGACTGACTGCTAATAAACCAAGAACAGTTTAGGAAAAATATAATGTTCTGACACCGCTTCCTAAAAAGAATAGAAATCTGTTATGAATGCGCCAACGCTTGTGCGATGTCATGGTATCATTATTCCCCATAAAACTGAGTTTGAGGAAAGCTGTGAGTGTTTGAGTGCCGAAAACTAGAGTTTCCAGAATAGCTCCGAAAATTCATGAAAAAAAAAACGATAACGGGACGATTTTTGAACGGGTCAATTGGGAAACGAGATCAAGCATTCGCTAGAAAGCTTCTACCTCCTAGTTCCTCTCAGGTGGGCAAGAATTGCAAAAAGTTGGCTCTAAAGAAAATTATAACAGTTCAAAGCCAAAACAACAGCGCTCTTCGAAAAACCGATCTGCGAGTTCTCCAGAATGGTACAACAGGACGATTGTTTGACTCCATCAATTTCTGAAAGGAGTGCAAGTAAAAAGTTAAGCTCCATCCTTCTAACTAATTCCAGGGGGTCAAGAATTGCAAAAGGTTAAATCTAAAGAAAGTTATAGTCATTGAAAGCCAAAAAAAAACCGGCTGTGCACAGAAAACGGTCCAACGGGGCGATTTTCCGAATAAATGAAACTTTATAAAGTTTGAGTGCTTTTTAGAAAGAAAACACAACAGAGTTTCAAAATTTTATTACCACTTCTCACATTTTCTTATTTGGAAAATTAAACCGCGGCGCAATGTGCTCGGAGGGGCCAGTCGCCGGCGCGGCTCAGCGATGCGTAGTGTAACTCGAACGTTCCAGCTTCTCACGGAACATTCCAGCTTCTTACGCATGCTAAAGTGACTGCCCTCACCCCCCACCCCCTGAATTGGCTACATTCCCCCTGGCTCACGAATTTACTGTTGCCGCAACGCCGCGCGCGGCGACTGGCCCCCTCCGAGGCACATTGCGCCTTAAACCTTTTAAATGAAAAAATGCGCACTTCTGTGGAATCTTAATTCTCTACCCCGTAACTAAAAGAGTTTTGAAGATATGCACAAACGTGGTAGTTTTCTGAAACTACATAGTAGTCTCCCAGATAAAAAATCTACCTAGCCGTTTGAAAAAAAATTGACGTTGACAGGATTACACTCATCTGAAAATTAATAGTCCGCCTCGATCTATCCGCGCTGGGCTAAGGGGAAAATTGTGCGCGCCAATGCAAGTGCGCTGATCCTGGTGTAACGCCCGAATAAAGTTACGGAGGTCTTCGCAAAACCACACTGACACCCCAAATATGACCCCTAGTGTACATTTACAAAAAGGGCGCTATGTGCCTCGGGGGGGGGGGGGCAGTCACCGCGCGCGGCTGTGCGGCAACAGGAAATTCGAACATTCCAGCTTCTCACGCATGTCATGTGACTGCCCTCACCCCCAACCCCCCTGAATTGGCTACACTCCCCCTGGCTCACGAATTTCCTGTTGCCGCAAGAGCGCGCGCGCGACTGCCCCCCCCCCCCCCGAAGCACATTGCGCCGCGGATTGACAAAAAGGTTTGGGGGGGGGTGTGGCATCGAGCCTCGCTAAAGGAGGGGGCTAAAATATCTCGAAACTGTCCAAAATGTGACGGTTGACCCTGACTAGTCGCCGACGCGGCGCGCGGCATGTCTGCGTCCTCTCAGCAAAACTGTGCAAACACACGCCAAACACTGCAGCTTTTTTCGGCTTTGCACCTGAGTCAAGTGACTCGCCCTACTCCCTTAACCCTGAACTGCCCACATTTCCCCTAGCTCAAGGAGCCCTCGCTGACCACTGAAGGGACGCACACATGCCGCGCATCGTGGCGGCAACTGTCCCGCCTCTGACCAAGTTAGCACCAAATTACATTTTAAAAATATACAGCGAGATATAAAATTTTCAACGGACCTAATGATCACCAAATCGCCAACGACGATGTCCTCGGTGTTGATTTCCTTCTCCTCACAATCTCTGATCACAATCGCCTTCGATGGCAGAAGTTTGGTGAAGCTTTTTAAATACCTAACAAAACAGAATGTTCCTAAACGTGGTCGAACAATACCAAATGCAAAGGAAAAGAGATACAAACAGCCAAGTGGAATAGAATCTTCTATTGACTCACTTTTCGAGCTTTACTCTCCTGCCATAGTGAGAGAAGGCTCATGACGAGAACAACAAGCAACAAAATGAAGGCACAATAAAGATTGAGCGGCTCGTTGAAGCCTTGCGCATAATGCGCAAAATATGCGGCTATGGAGAGAAATGCCGCACCTGAACAGAATACGGTAGCCTGATTACGGTAGACATATGCGAGGTGAACGAAAAGCAGTAGTTCGTTAACGTCTTCTTACCGCACTTATCCCTCAGTATAAGCACCCCATCTGTCCAACCAAAACAAGTTCTTCCCGCAGGTCCCCGATTTATCAAAACCGACAAAGCAATAATGAATTTCAATATTTCCAAAAAAAGCAACTAACCCGTTAATAATAGCCAGAATTTGAAATGAAATTGCCTGATGAAAACCCGAAAGAGATGTTCCTCCCTCGGTGGAGGCAGTACGTTTCCACCGCCATCTCGAAGACGCTTTCTATAATCAATTAAATAATCTAAAAAACAATTCAAATTTACACAATTTTAAATATCTGGGACCTAACAAGAGGCGAATTCGAACAAACGCTTTCTAGAATGCGCTACAATCAATTCACCTGGCTTCTTCACTGTGTAAGCCATCACTGCGTTCGGGAAATTCGTGATGAATATATGAATCTGGATAGAGATCTTTCAACTGTTCGATTGTCAAGTGATGCTCCACGAATGATATTCCCACGGCCTGCACAATCTAACAATTTTGCCTGCTCAACAGAGCTTCAGCGATCAAAACTCACCTTTCTTGCCTCCGAGATATCCCTTTTCTCGGGGCTCACCTTGTCTCGCCGCCTCCATCGGCTCCAAACTCCTAAGTCAGCTTTAGTGGTGAGGTCTGATGAAAAGGCGTCTCAGAAATATGGCATTAATCAACAACAATCTATAAAGCACTCAAAAACTACGCACCTGTGCACTGCTTCAGTCGACAATCGGTCTTGCAGTGTCCTTCTAAAACTAAAAAAATGATACTTTGAAACCATCATCAAAGATCAGTTCATATTCAGAAAAAGTAGTTTCCGGAAATTGGAAAAAATCAAGAATTAAAAAAAATTAACTTGTTTCAAGGAAGACCATTCTCATTCTCTGCACATTCTTCATTCATCATCCTGCAGGTGTTTGATAATAAAATCATTTTACAAAAAGCGCAGGAATGCAACCTCGCCTCTGGAACAGCATTTGACCGTCAACCCTTCAGTATTTTAAAAGGCGAAAAAGAACGTTCGAAGCACGTGAGTGAGAAGAACTTGTATGACGGGGCTACCCAAATGACAGTCATTCTCAATCGGACGTCCTGACAAAAAGGTAAATCGACCAGGTTTAAAAATACCCATGAATCCAGATCTGAGGTCGTTTACTCCTAATATTCAACTACGTGGATACTTGACACTGTCCAAGATATCGAACGCTTAAAGAGTAGAGAACTTCGGATACCTAGAAACGGCCTAGTCATCAACTATCGCGTGGACATTTCAGTAAGTGCTCGAATGGATGCGGCATAAACCAAACGGAGGACGTTCACTTGTACCCTATGCGATCGACACGCTCCATGACTCTCGTGCGCAGTACACCAAACGTCCATACAAGCTCCACGACCAAGGTCAATCAAGGGTTGCGCAGTTCCCAACAGCCGTAGTATTCCGTTTTTCGGAGGGCGATCCTGTTAGGGGTAGCCGAAGGATCAAAAGTTGAGAAAGAGATCGTATAAAAAGGGTCGCGGTAGCGGGAGAGAGGGGTCGGTTTGCGCATATGGGCTGTATCGAGATCCCGTCCGTTTAAGAAGAAGGGGTCGTCAGTTCTGGAACTGAACCCAACGGACTGTCGACTCCTGCCTTCACGCCATCTAAGGTAGAATCAGCTGCAACTCAAGATAATGGAAGGCAGCTTCACGCGGCTGGGCAGGGTCAGAAACACATAGGTCAAGGCAAACATCCATACGGCTTTTATGCGAACGACAGAACAAGAACAGCGACTGCAATGGTGTATACACGCGTTAACAAGGCTACGGAATCAGCCGATAAGGAAGGTACTAGACCTCGAAGCGTGGGGCGAGCGACCGCAAGGAACCCTTAAATGAAAAGGCGAAAGAGCTCATCAACGAAACCGTCCATGGAAAAATCGCGATCTAATCTCGCCAATAGTTCACTGGCCAAAGGCCCATCATTTACGACAGGAATGAAACGAAAAACTGCGTTGTTTCGGTAAACAATTCGATAGATCGAAGGACTGCTACGCGTTTAAACTCGTCAACGATATTGACGACGGGAATGATTTCATCTTTCTCTCGACGTGCCCTCACTAGGAAGGCCTCTTCTTGGCCTTTCTCCTCCTGTGACGATAACGCAACTCTATCGATCGTTTTGTTTCTATTCTCCAAAATCGAACGCTTTCATCAGATTCTTTTAGTGCGCCGCTTAACGTAGCAAAAGTCGTACAGTGGTTCTCCCTTCTTTCCGATCTACCCCGAACCTTCGCAAGGGGGTTTTCAAGAATTTGTTTCTCTTTAAACACTTGATCTTCTTGCGCAAATTTTCGTACGTTGTCTCAAGTGATCACGGCTGAGATCTTCTTCTGGGAAAGATGTAAGATTTATTCGGGGACAATTCCTTCAAGAAGGACGTCACCGATGTCGAAGCAACGGCAGAGTACGCCTCGGAGAGGGGATCTAACAAGAACGGCAAACCCCTCGAAAGCGCGGAATTGACACAAGGAAAAAGATGAAGATGACAAAGTTGCACGAGCATGTTGCGAAACATTATTTTTCCTCTCAATGGAACAAAATGAATTTATGTGACTGCAAAAACACGCCGTGGGAAATGTATTTCTCTGACAAATGGGAAATAACTTTTGTCAAGCGCAGTCGTTGAACTTGGCGTATTTCACCCAAATCTTCATTTTCGCACTTTCACGATGTTCTATAAATCACACTAAATTTTATAAATAATGCGGTTCTAGCAGTAGCAAGTCAAATATTGGGTTGTTCCGAAAGTCTTTGACCATTTGTCGATTTTTTTCGAATCCACTTTTCGTCTTCATCCCATTCAGCAATTTACAATCATATGCCCCATCAATAACCATCGCCCAACATTATGGCTATCTCACCAGCTGACATGTGGAATGCGCTTGTTAAGCAGGGTCAACCCTGCGTTGCGCAAATTCCCAAAATTTTTACGACCCCCTTCCTTTTCGGGGGTATCGGTACGACCCCCCATATTAACTATCATGTCTTTCACATAATTTAATGCTCATCAATGCTCATCAATGATGGCAGTCACCAACATGGAGAAGTGGTGGACCGTGG